TCAATATAAAGATCTGATGAAAATTATAGTTACGTTCACTGAAGCAAGCTCAAGCTTCTCATTTGAAATTTTAAGGTTTTACTTGGATGTATTCTTCCAGTTAAATATCAAGTATTGTCCTTAATACTTTGCTTTATAAAGAGATATAATTATTTTATCGCCATGCCTTATATAGCTACTCCCAAATTTACTCCGATTTACCCCAGGAAATATTATTATTTCCTGTGTGTGCTTTGAAATGGAAAAATGTTGATAAGCACTCCACTGGGGAAACTTATATGCCATGGGTGAATCCATTGGCCTCTCATGTGCAGACATTTTCAGACAGCCAAGATTTCCCAATGGCATTTCAAACCTCTTTCTCTCATGGCTTGATTCCTGTGCAGATGATGACAAGTACTGGTGACAGCAATAGCCTCCCTGTGCTATCATTCAATTCCTTCAGTTCCTTAGAATGAGATCAATAAAGCTTCACTCTTTTGAAGGAAAAATTATACCACTGTCTTGGAGTGTCACTAAAGACAGTATGTGAGTTCAGTAAGAGGATATATTGATGGTACAGATTTCCAGTCCAAGTTAGAATGACTGTTTCAGGGTCAAGGAAGTGAGACAGAATTATTCTAATCCATACTAGACTGCCGTTTGCCACAGTTATTACAGTATATAAGCTTAAGTCATAAGAAGAGAGTTATGGTTGAAATTACAGTTGCCATCTTTGATATCTTGAATATCTCTTAGGCTCATTTACCCTTTTTTCTAAATAAACTTAGAACATTAGCACCTAAGAGCTACCCTTATTAGTAATGGGTTTGACTATCAAAAGAGTGTATAATCAAATCTGAGTTGCTTCAGCAAGATGAGGTAACTATGCAATTTCCTGACTACATGGTAGCAGCTGTTTTCCCATTTGTGTGTGCAGTGGAAGGACTTTGTATAATCATAGGTGAGGCTTTATCTTCTGTATATCCATCATCACTGTGACCTAGTCAAAGTAGGCATCTGTGAATGGCATAAAAGGATATTTCTCTAACAATTAATAAAAATTTTAACACTTGGAAAATAACAATTATATTTGGAAAAAGAAGAATCACAAAAATGCTGGTGGTTATGGGTGTGGAAAGTTGGGGCCTGACATCTGTTCCCATTGCGCTGGTAGTCCCCACCCCCCGCCAATGCAAGGCAGGTGCTTAACCCCTAAGAAAAATCTAATAACTGTTTATAGGTTTGAATGAATAAAATAAGAGATGGAAAAATGTCTTCAATATTCATAACATTCATCACTAATACAGTAGGCGGAGTACAAGGTTTTATTGATATTCAGTCTTTGGTCGGGCATGAGGAAGAGCTGTGAGCTGTGGCTATGTTGTAACCCTATGATATGGTGGAGCCTTAGCTAAAAGTCTGTTCTCTCAGACCCATACTCCCCATGAAAAGGTATATGTGTTATGGTTTCATTTTTGAAACAGATGTTCTTTCCTGCTGCAAAAATTGTCGAGAAGTTGAGTTTATAGAGAGCATGTGTAGCAAAATGTTGAGTGCTTCAGTCAGGATGGCAGAACACCATACATTTTAAACCAGTGTATTTATAATGTTGCTGATGCATTTGGTTAGAGGAAGGCCCTGTTAAATGCCTCACACGCACTCTCGTTTAACCTTCAGAGTGCTTTTACACAGGAGATGCTATTTGTAACCCCATCTTACTGATGAGGAAAGTAAAGCTTAGCATCTGAACCCAAGTGTGTCTGAATCAAAATGCCACACTCTAACCCCTTTGCTCATTGCCTCTTGATAAATGCACATTCAAGTGCTTACATTTTACACATTATATCTAGAAAAGCTTTTCTACTCTGTGACAGCTGTTTACATTTTTCAGCCTTTTTGGAGGAAAAGTATAACTTTTGCCACTTTACAGGCTTGTATTATTTGTTAAATTGAAAAATTAATTTTTTACTTTTTGGAAATGCTTATGTTAATACTTAAGAGTCAATCTGAAATAGATGAGAATTTGGGTATTTTAATATATACTTGAAGAATTATTAAACACTGATTATGATGATTGTAACCAGTATGAGATAAGAGGACACCCGTGGCCAGAAAGGTCAAGAATGAGTTTTCCAGGTCATTGGCTCTGCCCAGAACTGCCTTGGTGAATCACATTCCACACAGTCTCTCAGTGCTGAGCTAGCATCTATGTAGATCAAAGCTGTGGCCAGAATGGCTAATTCATGCACTAAACCCAAATGTCAAGATTTGTTAAACACATGTCCTTTAGAAAAGCTACCTAACTGAACCCACTGCATGAAAAGTGGTAGAACGAATTATTGGTCTAGATTCAGATTTAGATATTTTAATTTACTTTTAGGAGGAGCAGCCACACAATAAAAGCAATGGCACAGGAATAGCCTACCTGGGGGGAAAGTGAGAGTCTGTGGCTGAAAGTCTTCAGGGAAAGACATGTGAAGAAATTAGTGAGATTGATGAAGTGTTTCGCGGTGTATGATACAGAGGTTCATAATGGATTGTCCCTCAGTCTTCCCTAACCACATTGAATATAAAAGCATTATTGAATGAATAAATCAGCAGCTTAATGATATAAAGGCTTTCAATGTATCAACCCAGCTGTTGATTCTTAATGTCTCTGCTCAGTTTCCCCACCCTTCTTTTTTCTTCTCACTCCTAATGAGGAATGTCTTAGGACTACAAAAGCGTAATAACCCCGACGCTGCCACCACCACATACACATCTTTTTTAATAGGGTGGAATACTAGTTTAGGACCCTCAAAGCTCCAAAAGCAGAAACCTGATTCCCTTGCTCCTCTTTGTCTCTTTTCTCACCTCCAATTCCACTTAACCAACTCCAGGAGAGCACATACTGGGCTTCTCACAAGGACTTGCATTTATTATACAACATCATTCTTCATACTTTTTATAGTGCCATAAAAATTAGGAGTGTGTGGACACTCGTGGCACAAAAAGGTAGGAATCCTGCTATCTTCCCTTTCAGCTCTTCCTCACATAAGGAGAGAAAATGGCAAGCATAAACTAAAAAGATGCTTATAGGGGTGCCAGGGTGGCTCAGTCAGTTAAGCATCTGACTCCTGATTTTGGCTCAGGTCATGATCTTACAGTTTGTGAGTTCAAGCCCTGCATTGGGATCTGCACACTGACAGTGCAAAGCCTGCTTGGGACTCTCTCCCTCCCTCTCTGTCTCTACCCTGCTCCCACTTGCTTGTTTTCTCTCTCTCTCTCTCTCTCTCTCTCTCTCTCTCTCTCTCTCTCTCAAATAAATAAATTAAAAAAAAAAGATGCTTATAATATGATAGACCCAGTGCCACTTATACACACCACAATGTATTACCTGAGTTAACATGAGACTCTCATATAAGGTTCATGCCGTGGTCACTCCTTGCCTTCCACATCCTTTCCACAGTCAATGGTTTCTATGTATTCTGCTTACATAAAGTCAACATAATTATATTTGAAATGTTCAGAGACAAAGAAACTGGTATTTAGCTACAATCCTTGATTGTCCCAGTACCTAGAAACTCAATGACAAAAACTTGAATCCTGTACCTCTCAATTAAGCGAAAGCCTCATACAGACATCTCTGAATGACCAGGATAGACATTCAAGGTCATAGCAGAAAAGAACATAAGGCCCCCAAATAAAACTGTTACAAGTGCCAAATGAGCTTAGGAAGACAGGACTTCACAAGAGTTCCTGGGCATTGGGAAGAATTAGTTGATGCTCGATAAGACGAGCAGAAACCTATCCGTCATCTTTGCTATTACTTATGCCAGCTGTGAGGTTAAACTGAGGGGATTATAAAATTAGGGCCTTTAACTCCTCTGCTATGGGATCCCCTTAATGAATAGAGTGGCAAGCAGCTAAGCTCTGAGAAAGGATATGATGAGGAAACGTCCAAAGAAATTTTAGCATTGTTCAAGCATTTCAGGTCCAACCCTACAGAGACCTAAGGCATTGTGTCCAGTCCTTCTACCTCCATTAAAAGCCAACACTTTATGGGGTCTGGCAGACATTCTCAGGCCAACCATGCCCTCTTGGCCCACACATTTCTGACTTTCAACTCCTTTCATTTTGGCCCCTGTCAGTATCCCTTAGACTTTCATGAGCACAGCTATGCACTTAGGATGTCGTTGCATTTCTAGCTGTCTCACGATGGAAGAATTTTCACCTCCCAATCTCAATATTCCTGGGACTTTAAGAGTCTTCATTTTTCCAAAGAACTCTTTCTAAAATAGATGTGTATAAGGCTGTTGTTTAAAGCAATGAATTCACTGAAATTTGGTGTGGTTTCAGCTACTTTGACATATTTTTGTCAGATACTATGCTCTGAGAACCTCTGTTCAACCTTTGGCTCTCTCAGCCTTCTTTAAGAGGGTAAAAGGAAATGACCTGTGTGGTTATACTTGAAACTCTTCTTTTAGGGATAAAATCTGGAGGCATGTGGTAGAAAGCAAGTAATGTACTGAGGACATTGTAAACATAAGAAAGTAGGGTACAAAAATGCTGGATGGATTATTAATAATATTAGCTTAGCACTGAGTCAATTTCCCAAAGTCCTGTTGTATCTTGGTAGAGTTTCTCCAGGCATGTAAACTATTCCCTGGGTGCAAACTAAACACTTTCAAAACTATATTCACTTTCTTAGGCTTCTGTGGAAGTAAATTCATTAAACTGGAAATTCCCCCTGGACTGGAAGACTGAATGCAGTTTCTTTAAGTGCTCTTTAAGTAAAGGAAAGATGACTTTTAAAAGTGTATTGATTTGGCAACTATTCTGAATCCATTTACAGACAGAATAAGCACAGGACCCCTTTGTCCCCTGGATATCCCACTCTGGCTCCAGATTTCTAACTGACAGTCATACCTCTCAAGAAAATGAGCCTAGGTAAAGAAATTTAAAAAGAATTCAATGGTTTGGAGCATGATGCTATTTAGCTATCTCTATTCTTCTTTTCCTATGTAAAACATCAACAGAGCACAGAGAAGTTGGAAAATAGGGACACAGAGAAGTTATGAGACAGTAAAACACAAAGAAGCAAGATCATTGTGGGCTTCCAGGTTGGTTGCAGACCCACCAAACAATAGGTAAGTCTCGCAAACATATTAAACCCAGGTTAGGAGTATAAATACAAAGCCTTCCCCTAATTACAAATACATCTCTTTTGCAAACAAATGCATAGGAGAGAAAGGAAAAGGTCACACAAGGTCCTGAAAAGGAGGCAAAAACAGTGATAAAGAGGGTGGTAAGCCGAGCTTCACTGTACCTAAAGAAAAGTGCCAAGAGACTACTGGGTGTCAAAGTAAGACCATAGACTTTTTAGCGAGAACATGGAAATAAATAAATTGATGGGGGAAAAAAGGGGGGGAAATGTGAACATTGTTGAAGGGAGTCTTGAAAAGATATCTGAGGGGGCACCTGGGTGGCTCAGTCAGTTGGGCGTCCGACTTCAACTCAGGTCATGATCTCGCGGTTTGTGAGTTCAAGCCCCACGTCGGGCTCTGTGCTGAAAGCTCGGAACCTGGAGCCTGCTTTAGATTCTGTCTCCCTCTCTCTCTGCCCCTCCCCTGTTCACAGACTGTCTCTCTCTGTGTCTCAATAATAAATGTTAAAAAAAATTTTTTTTTAAAAGAAGATATCTGAGGACTTTTAGGTATGAAGCTAATTACATGTTAAAACTACTGAGGATCTAACCTTATACCCAACGTCCTTTCAAAGTGCCCTTTGAAGACCTGCAATGGGGAATAATGAAGGCAATAACAGAAACCTAGATTCTGTGATTGAGCTTGGGACTAAATTTAGGAAGATTTGCTGTAAATTTAGTAGAAATATGAACACATAAAAAAAAGGGTGTGGAGGAGGGGTTTGAAGATTGACATAGGATTGCCTCCTGAACTAAATAAAGTTCTATGCCTCAGAAATAAGTGGGTCTTTGAGAGTCAAGACAATGTTCAGAATCTAAACAATAGTAATATCTTACACTATAATCATCAGTGTTGACCCAGGAAGTCTACTCACAAGCCTCTTTAAGGACACATTTAAAAATGTTGAAATGCTTTGTACACACATATATTCATCAAAGGGTTATCTATGATAGTGAAATTGAAATGTCTAACCATAGGCAGGTTGTTACACGAATGGGGTTTTTTGAAGATCTGAAAATGAGATTTACACATCCAGGTAATAACATGGAAAAGTGTTGCTATGTTTAAAATGTAGGCTGTAGTATATACATATTTTTAAATTAGAGTTGCAGGAAAAAATGCTTAAATGGAAAATCACAAAAAAGTCAAAATTCTTACATTTAGGTAGGAGAAAATGATGTTGACATCATCTTCCTCTGCCCCTTCCTCCTCTGCTTTCTCGTTTTCTATTTTATAATTTTCAAGTTTTATTTAATGATCTTGTATTATTTTTTAAATGATTTTTAAAAACAGTTCAATAGAGGTAGAAGCCCATCTGAGGTTATTCATACAGGGAATAGACAGTCTAAGATGGTAGTTCTCCACTTAAACATATATAAGAATTATCTACAGTTCGTGATTCTGTAGATCTGGGACAGGACCAGAAATTTTGCTTTTTTCATATGTTCCCAAAAGATTCCAATAGTGTTGATCTAGGGACCAAACTTGGAACCACTGCTCTAAGAGAAATGCTTTCATTCCTCATGATTCACAAGATTTTACCCATTTATCCAATCATTTTACCAGTCATTCTACCACACAAATAGAAGGCTCTAGTGTAGTGAAACTGATGCTACTACAACAGTATGACTCAATATTTTGCCCTTGCCTTTTATCCAAGGTCAAAGTAAATATGACACTTTTCTTTTTCTTGGAAAGGGCGACTGAGGACATGATTTTACATGTTCCAAGTTCCCTTTTAAAAGACTTATGTTGAAAAAGCTTTCACAGAACAAAGAGGAAAAAGAATTTAATCATATTTTTCTAATTACTTTTCTTTATTAAACAATAGGAACTGATTTTTAACTATGTGTTTATATCTGCTTTATTCCTGGATTTAGGATTGTTTCCAAAAATATAGGACAGGAGACAGAAAAATGTTGCAAATAGATAGGTGAGGAAATCATGACAAAAATTTACATAACAAAGATGGCATTAGCCTGTCCTCTTTACCTTGAAAAGTTATGCATTTGCCATTGCACTACCTTCCTTCAGCGTTGGTTTTCTGTTTTGTTTTGTTTTGTTTTCTGTATTTAGTTTCCTCCTATTGCTTCCATGGCACCTTTGAGTACTTTCTTGCAGACATATCTCCCTTTCGACTCAACTGCCCAAAGAGTTACGTTAAATTGTAGATGATGCTTATATTCCTATTCCTCACATAATTAATCTTCAACTAAATATCAACAAATACAAAGTTATGTTCAACTAGCAACACAACTGAAATTAATACTTAAGGACAAGAATATTTAAGTCTACTGTCTCAAATATAGTTTTAAGTATTTGTTTGGATATCTCAACGAAGTCTTGAGAAACAAAAGCTTTGAGAATATGAAAACCTCTCCAATTCAAGATAAAATAAAAGTGTCACAGTCATTGTAATGAATTTACTCAATATCTCAAATTTAACCAGCTGAAATTTTTTTTTCCTTTGTAAGCAGTATTCTATTCAACTTTTAGAAATGAGGATCCTGTCTTACAATGGAAAAGCAGCATATTGTCCTATAGGTGGAACAAAATGTCCTTGACTTATTAATCCTCTAGGGGAGCATTGCCTTTGGTAACAGCTACTTAGCATATATTAAAGGAGTAGATTCCAGTAATTTCACTTCAGGGCTTAAAAGTCCAGAGGCTTCCTTTTGTTCAGCATAAAGAAAAATGCCATTCTAATTCCAATGTACTAGCTTCTGCTTAACTAAACTCTGGCAATATTAGTCGCCTGCTGTGTAAGGACACCCTAAGAGCACAAAAGAAAGAAGCAACTTTAAAATAAGTGATTGAAAAATAAAACAAAATAATAAGTGATTGAAGTAATTAAACACATTAGAAAAAGAGAATGTTGTGATCCAAGAGCAAGTCGGTCAACAGCAAGTTTAAGTGAGACTCAACGTACTGTAAATACCTGCTTGCTTCTTACTGATTTGGGGAATATATAATTAAAAAATAGCACATTTAATCTGTAATTTGCAAAATCAGTGAAACAATAAAAGCCTACTTAAGGGAGAAGTTTTTATACTTTGGTTTTTAAACAGCAAAACACATGATTGGCATTTGCTTACTTAATAAGACTGTTGGAGATAATTTTTCAGGGTTGACACATTATCAATTCAAATCAGTAATTAAAGATACAGATGAAACTTGTCAGTGATATTGATATGGTTCAGAATTGTTTGGAATCAAAGCAAACTCAGAATGAAGTGTTGATGGAAATTATTTTTAAGAAGTACTATTAGGTTCCTCCTGGGTACAGAGTCTTGAATCAAACCCTGGAGAGACAGATAAATTATAAACATCTCTGAGAAATATTGTATACAAGGATAAACTAACAGAATTGCACCATGGAAAGAATTCAGTGTGTTTGTATTCCATTTTTTTTAAGGGAAACATTATGACATAATTGGTTCAGAGTTTGCCCACTTGAGAATACTGAGCACTCACCAGGGGTCAGATGCTTCATATAAACATTACGTCGTTTAATCCTTACAACAGTCTGGAGAGGCAGGAAAAATTGTGCCGTTTTACAAAAGAGGAGAAAAGCTCAAAGTGTTTAAAAAACTGTCTCAAAACAGCATTGTTTGTGGGAATCAGAACCAAGACTTGAAGCCAAGACTGCCTGATAAAACTGTTTCCTACAACACACCAGACTGCCATGCAGCACTCTCTCTTCCGTACTCTGGGGACACCTTTATCCAGTTTCTCATTTCTAAATCGAAGATCATTCTGTTCTTAGGAAGCTCCTCAAATCTTATTTCCCTGGAATATTAATTATATTCTGGCAGCTTCCAGACCAAGAAGCACTTCTACAGAAACTTGGACACCTTCAGGAAGTCATCAACTGGAAACACTTTCCCCTCCATGGGCAGTGTCTCCCACCCACCTTTAGCATCCGGATCTATTTTAGATGTACTTGTTTTTAAAGATTCAACACAAGTAGTACCTATTCCATAAAGCTTTTTCTTTTACTCGCAACCAGATGTGATCTTGCCTTCCTCTGTTATAATTTTCTTTTCTTTCTCCAATAGCACTTTGTTTATAGTTCTATGTGGTAGTGCATTGTATTTATTTATGTATATTTATTGACTCAACAAGCATTTACTGAATGCCTTCTAAGTATCACTCTATCTAAGTCACTGCTAAATGCTGAGTCTACAGAATTATGTAAAGACACCCCAACTTCGTTTCACGGCCTGGCAGAACATGCTTGCTTCATGCGTTGGATAAGACTGAAAGTTCTTTTATGTTTCAACTTATGTCTTGTTCATTTCAACATAAAACATGAACCATATGTTAAATAAACCAACACATTGTCTTTCTCCTAGCTGCTTTCAAAAGCGGTTGTTTAATTTAATTAGATTGAGAGGCACCTGGACGGCCCAGTCGGTTGAGTGTCCAACCGTGACTCCAGTCATGATGCTGCAGTGCGTGAGTTTGAGCCCCACTTTGGGTTCTGCGCTGACAGTTCGAAGCTGGCTTCAGATTTTGTGTCTCCCTCTCTCTCTGACCCTCCCCTGCTGTAACTCTGTCTCTCTCTCTTTCTCACAAAAATAAATATTTTAAAATATATATATTTAAAACATAAGAATTTAATTAGATTGAAATAACGTGCAATACTTGCAGTGAAAAATCCATGTAAAGTTATTTACAAGAATACAGACAGCATTTGTATCCGTATCTTATTATTTCAGGTAGATGAAAGTAAGACTTTTCTCTTTTCTGACATATAAAACTAGGAACTAAGTATATGGAATTCTGTGTTTATAACCATATGCCAGGGCTCAGTAGAGTCTTAAATGTACACAATCTGACATTAAATGCATTTTGAATATATTGCTGGTCAAATTAAATCCCAAGAAACATTAAATAAATTACATAATTAAAATGCTTTGGACAGC